TATCAAAGCTCTACACCAAAGGTCAGACAGAAGACAGTGGTATACAAAATGACAAAGAGAAGGAACAAAATGCAGTCTCAGGCCCCAAGTCCACCCAGTACAACTGCAGAAGACACTAGCACTGAGGAAACTGGAAATCACATACCAGATATCTCAGGAATAATAGCATTGACAGTACAGAATCAACTGCAGAAATGTATAGAAGAAATCAGATCAGAAATAATTTCAGAACTAAAAAATGTAGTGTAAGTGAAATAAATCAGACACACAAGCTCAAATGTTGCATGGTTTCTCTTACATTAAAAAACCCAAAATATGAATACAGAGCAAAATAAAAGATACAGGGGATTAGGGAGATAGAGCTTTTACAAATGGGAAGGGGACCAAGAGATAGGAGGGCAGAGAGAGGAAAGCATTAGGGGATGAAAATAAGAAAAAAAAATATATGTATATCCCCACGAGCTATGTAATCATTATGTACTCCAAACTTTCTTACCTGATGGCATAATGGGGAAAGCTGAGGCCAAGTTATCTATACTAACTAGCACAATGGGCAATTCCACAAGACCCTGAGTCACTGAGACCAAGTTATCTATACTCTCTAGTGTAACAGGCAATTCCACAAGACTCTGAGACACTTGTTTATGTGTGGGTCTTGGAAACTTCCTGTGGCCAAAGTTCTGAGTATAGGAGTCCTCAGAGTTTTGTTCTTCATTTGGGCAACTTCAAGGGGATGATGACCTCGCACAGAATGAAAGATCATCAAATGAACATGTTACTTTTTTGTTCTTTTGAGACAGGGTCTTGCTATGTAGTTCAGGCTAGTTTCAAATTCAGTGATTCCCCTGCCTTAGCTTCCTCAGTGCTTGGCTTATATGTGTGTGCCACCATACCCAACTCAAGGTTTGTTTTAAATTAACTTGAAGTAAAAGCACAGACGTAGCAATTCCCATTCTTGGATTACATGAGATTCCATAAAATTAAAAAAAAAAAAGTCTTCTGCTACCACTATAATAAGTATCGATAACATCACTCTCTTCTGTAAGAGAGTTCCCAGGTAGAGTAGAGGGTGTTTCTAAATGGTGTGTCACTTTGAGCTGGCACATTCAGAAGGAGATGCTAGTTTTGGAGATTGTTGGAAACAAATTCCCAGTAAATGATTTTAGCTATAAAGTGCTTTTGTGTGGTAGGTACATGGAGGACGAGAAGGAGGGGAGCACTGGTGGTCAGCAAGTATGTGTATTGGTGGACTTGAATCGGCAGGGAGGGCAAGCTGAGATGAGGAATGAAATTGTCAGGGAAGTGGGCAGGGAAGCGAGCGGGATGGATAACTGTCCTTTTCCTCCAATGCAGCCTCTCATTCTCCTATTTTTATGAGCATTACCAACATTTGCTCTTCTGCTACTTCTAAGCAAACTGCAAAATTATACTTCCCCACCTATTTAAAGTATGGTCATATAACTTGCTGTGGCCACTGAAATGCAGTAGAAGTGACATAGGTGACCTCTTCTTAGAAGCATTTAAAGGTCCCATCCTGCTCTCTTCTGCTTTACCCTAGTAAATGTACCTATTCATGGATAAGTGGCATAGGATCAAAAAGAGATAAACTTTTTATGAATCAGAGACAAATCAAACCAAACCAGAACAAAACAAAACCAACTGTTATTACATTAAAGCCATTGAGATTTCTCTTGATCCTGATGTCCTATCCCATCTTTTCCCCTACCTTCCAGTAGCCTCTTCTTATCCCTTTTTCTTGCACCTTCCTCTTGATAACTATCTCTTTTTTCCCTTTCTTGTCCTTGTATTCTATGATTTTACCGCAATCCTAACTGTAAGTCCTAAATACCATGTTTTATATTCTTATCCTCAATCTAAAACATGGATATATTTATGTTTTCATTTGAAAATGGTAATTTTTGATAAATATTTTTAAATTTTTCTCCTAAATTCAAGTTTACCTGAGATAAACTAAAATAAATCTTTAACTTATATAAAAACATATGCTTTGAAAACTGTACTATGTTACCTAAACAAATGAGATTGCTGTTGTGAATAGGTCCTCAATTTATTTTCTTCTGTGGGCTAATGGGTACCAAGAAAAAATAAAAACACGCACAAACCTCCCTTAAACTTCATGCAATAACAGCCATGCAGTTCAGAAACCCCTGAGCTCCCTCTGGAGCAACCTGTGCAGTTAACCACATCAGGTGTAGTTGGTCTTTCAGCTATCACCAATAATTTTGTTGTGAAGGCTGGTGGAGCCATAGAGTCTTGATGTTTATTCGAGATGGAAGACGTGTAAGGTTATCCAAAGAGCCACTCATTTTCATGCCCACTCATTCATGGCATAATTTTTAGACCTGAGGTCATCCCACCACCCTGAAAGTTGTTTTAAGCAATTCAAAGTCACTGCAGACACAAAGCAGCAGAAAGTAAAAGAGCAGGAAAATGCAATGGTGGCTTGGCTAATCATGCATATTTAAATAAGCACAACAGATGTGTACTTAAAAAAAAAAAACACAGCTCTGGTTTCAAGTAAAAACATGCTCCACTAGGTAAACAGGATCATGGAGGGAACTCCTGAGGGTTTTAAACACAATCAGTTCCTCAGAGCTGATGTGGTGCAGGGAAGAGAGCAGAAGAAATATTAACATTCACACAGGAAACAAAAGATCATGCAAAAGGAACAAGGGTCCAGTGCAGAATTCTGAAGTCCACTTACTGCCTGCTTTTGTTCTTCCTCCTAGAAGTGTTGAAGATGAATAAAGGCAGAGGAGAAAAGGAGATATATTAATGGCCATCACTGTAAACATTGGGAAAAAAATGATATGAGAAATGAGGCAAATGGGCCTGGCTCATGTGTCCTGAGCTCAAAGGCCCTGTCCACCAGATAAACAAAATGGTAGGCCTCTGCCCTAATCAGTTAATTCAATGCACTAACTTCTAGAGTTGAAAGAAAAAGGGAACAAAACAAAACACAATACAACCTTAGAAAGCACTTGAGATTTCTTCACTTACAAATGTAAGAAGTCTTGAGAGTTGGGCTTATCTAAGGTCAGTAAGTAACTATTTAAGGTAAATTTAAAGAGGAAGTTCAACCATAGCTACTTCATCATTTACAATATCTCTATGTATCTAGAGATAGGTCCTAGGCCAGTGGTCCTCAAGGTGTGGATCACAGACCTCCATCAGATTCACTTGGAAGCTCATCAAAGATTCAAATTCTGGGCCCCACCCCATATTGGCTGACTGGAAGCTCCAGGAGTGGAAAACAGTCATGTGTTCCTACAGCCCTTCAGCCTAGCTTGAGAACTGTTGCTCCAAATTCTTAACTAGCAATTCCACCTGACCTCAGGTTGTTTGGTTCTTTTCTTCTTTCCTAGTCCCCTCTCCCCACTACATATATTGGACCTGCATTCTCTCCACTTGCTTGCAGGCTGCTTCAGCACTCTGTAAGGGCTTTCAAAAAATAATTCTTGATCTCAGTTTTTCATTAATTCACCACAGGTTTATTTAGCAATTCTTATACATATCACTGAAATAAAGGTAAGTTCTCTGTCTTTTAGAACTTTATAGTGATGTGTACATAGAGCAGGCACTTGCTAACTATGTTTGCCTGACCAGATACATGTATCCATTAGACATTGCAGAAAGAAGGAAAAAAAAAAAAAAAAAAAAAAAGAGGAAATAAATACTTTTGAGTTTCTCACTTTTTGCTTCTTAGTTACTGTCTTTTAATGAATCGTTCTGGTTCCTCCTTCTGTGCCTCATCATGAGTAACAGAATGAGGCCTCTGCTCTTTAGTATGTGAGTCATAGTGGTCGCAGTGGCTCTACCTGAACTACATCCATGTGTGCAGGCAGTTTCCACTGACCACAGGTCTAGGGAGTTTTAGGAGGGATATGTGTTCCTGCTCTCTGAGAGTCTGAGTCTAGGTGTGTGGGCAGAGTACTTTTAGTAAAGCAAAGAAACTGCAAAAGGGACAGGGTAAGCAAAAACTTGGAGAACACAATTTTTATTCCTGCAAGGACAGACATGGACTAGAAATTAAACGAACACAAGAAATCCTACAAGCAAACTCTGGCTCTTCCCAGAAGTGCTTTTCACAATGAAAGTCAGCTGCCAGCACCCAGGCAGAGGGTCCTAAGCATCACCTCAGCCTAAAGAAGGAGGAGAGGCTTTCTGCCTTTGCACCTAGCAAGCATGACTGGGCTGTGGTCAGAAAGGGATAGTTTTGCAGTGGGAAAGTGCTCTCCCTTCCAGTAGACTTCCCTCTAGAGAAGGACACTGCTTACATTCACTAGGCAAGGCAAACAGCCATGGGAGATGATTAAACAATTTAAAAATGGACTTTTATTGCTGGAACTAGGTGTTGAAATGGAAATTGAGTTGGGGAAAGGATGGAGCAATTTCATAGGCTCAAATCCTATCTGGGGGTCAAAAGACCAGTACATATGTCATTTCTTAGGACTCTTTCTAAGATACTTTCATGTTTTCATTAGCTTTGGTATTAGAGGTAACACTGGTTTAGTTTATAGAATAGGGAAATTTGAGAAAGCAATGTTTCTGCTCTCATATTCAGTAACTCTGAACTCTAATTTTGTTCAAAGACATGAACACATTATGCTCTGTAGTACAAATACTTATCAAGTTAGGACAGGATGGTGGACAGGGTAGTCTTCTCAGGACACAGAGGCTTCCGTTGTCAATGGTGGTGAGAGAAGGTGGACTTTAACAAAGTGTTACCTAGGATTGTGTTGTATAACTTAAACTCACAAAATTAACCAGATAAGGCTATTAAAGCTCTGTCAACACACTAAACAGGTCACACATAAGGTCTTAAATGTGTTATAAATTAATCAGCTGGGGTCTATAAACACTAATGACAAGGAGCAGTGCCAACTTATTTCAGGGAGTCATAGTACCTTCATTATAAAGCACAAATCTAGAAGTGCTTATGTTACCTGAACACAATCTCTTCCAAATGGAGGCAGTCTGGCTAGGTAATGGCATAGCTACTGTAGTCATCTATATAAAAATTTACATTTTAACTGGATAAACATTTTCAAATGAAGTTGAAATCTAAAACTGCAAAAATCAGCTGGTAAATATTTCAAAAGCAGTATGAGAAACATGAAAATGAAGTAGAAAATGTTGGGAGTATGAGTTAAAAACTAAAATACTAACATATAACCATTCTATATCAAGTAAATGTGAAGTAGGGGTTATCTTTAAACTCATTAACTAGGGGGAAAACTGTAAGGAAAAGATATATACAGATATGTAGATACTGGAGTATTAGTCTACATTGTATCACTAAAACAGAAAAAACAAATGAGAAGTCCCTGATACTCCTTGGGCATAGAAACTGAGTCCACTTACAATTGTTCATCAAATACCTAACATGACACTTAGGAACACAATACATCTTTGTTATATAAACATACAGTTAGGGTTTTTCTTGCCTTTTTCCAGAAATGGGAGACCTTTGTTGAATGAATTACTACACAATAGTCCCACTTTAATATAGTTAAATTACTGGTTTTCAGATACAAAGATAGAGTGCGAAGTATTTTACTGAAGTGGTGGAATGCAAGAACTCCCTGTGAAATGGAAATGCACTGTTGATGTATTTTAATCTGTGAGCCTTCCAGACCATGGGGCTTGATTGTCCATTTGAAAAATTGCTTACAGCTGTTTTATGCGCGCATGAAATGCTAGCAAACTGAACATCAGTGAAAGGACAGTTCTTTGAAATTAAAATTAGATTTCAAAGTATATGTTCATTATGGATTGGTGAAATTTGCTTTTTGTATTTTAGTACAGGGTCTATAGGGTCTCATTATGTAGATCAGACTTGTAGTAATCTGCCTGTGTTCAGCCTCCTATGAGCTTGGATTACAAGTACGCTATCACGCCCACTCTCAATCACTGTCTCAGCGTGCTCCCCCCCCCCCCGTGGGGGGGCAGCACAGCAGGCCGGGGATTAAATCCCTGGCCACTGCACCTGCCTAAGCAGGAACTTTAATGTGCTGAGCTATTGGGCCAGCCTGTGATTTTTTTTTTTTCCAGAACGGGGAATTGAACTCAGACCCTTGTGCTTGCCAGGCAAGTGCTTATTCTACTGAGCCATCTCCCTGGCCCAAGCCCGTGAATTTTTAATAGTAGGAAAACATCTTTGAGATTTTAACAGAAGTCACTGATTTTTATGTATGTTGTTTAAGAATACATGTACTACACAAATTAAGATTGTGTTATAATTCTTTTAGGAAGCTGGATATCATATATATCATGTTTTCAATTGTGAATTCAGTTTGATAAATAAAAGGTCAACATCTTTAGGTTTGTGTTTGCAAATTCCTCCTGCCAGTCTGGATGGCCTCAGCCTGGATAAATGAAAAGGCATTTAAGAACCTGGCAGGGGTCCTACAAAATGGGTTGGCAGGATCTTGCTTATTTTACTGAAATTACATGATAACAGCTAAAAATATAAAGAAAGTTAAGGTTTGGGGTCAGTGTGTGCCGGCTACTAACTCATTCTGCTTAGCACTTGAATTACAGATGTCAGTGGCTACAGCAAATTTGCAGTGGTTATATCTAGGGCTCAAGGCAGTAGCTCTAAGAAAGATGAAAGACAACTGAACAGAAAGGAAAGTGCACCACGTTATTAAGGTGAAATGCACTCTGACTTCCCTTTAGTTTCAGAAACCTTTTACCTATAAGATGAAACAAAATCACAGTGGGACCGCTTCTTACATATGTGTGGGTTATGTTTGAGAACATCCTTCTGAAAGGAAGGTTTAAAAGGGAGAGGGTAAGATGGGCTTTAGTATTTTCTGTCCCACAGGTATACTCACTCCACTCAAGGGCATACAGTGCCCCACATGGTCCAGGAATTACACAGGCCAGATATGTGAATGTGTACATATTGGCTGTTTTGAGTGGGTGACTGAGTGGCTTGGCTGTGTATCTGATAATTGCTAGAGGATACGGACCAAGAATTTTGATAAGATTTTCTTCCAACCAGGCTCATTTAGACATAAAATATTTCTGAAGGGAAATCCTGCTAACAGGGTTAGTGTAGAGAACATCCACACAAAACAACTCTAATACCCAGGACCATGCCAGGACAATAAAAAACAGACAGCTCAAATCTAAAAGAAGCAATTGTCTTAGTGATCCTCCTGTTTTCAGCCTCCCCAGCACTGAGATTACAGGTGTGTGCCACCACACCAGGTCTTGGTGGCTGACTCAGCATACCCGGGGACGGGATTGGTGCAGCACATGAAGCCAGGGATCGAACACCACTTCCTGTGCTTGCCTAAGCAGGCACTTAGTCCAATGAGCTGTCTCACCAGCCCAGCAATTGTCTTGAGGAAATCAAAAGTCTGCTAAAAAGCACAAATGCAACATTTGTTCAAGTTGCCAGAACCTACCTGCTTTTGTTACCAAGGGATTTCTTTAAAATGCAGAGGCTAAAAAGAAATCTCCAAGATGCTACTTTCTTGGATTCCCATTCCTAGTTAGACTCTTGACACCCTGAGTCAGATGAATACATAAATCTCTTACTATACCTTAGTGTCTCCCTCTTTTAACTTGTAGCAAGTATCCTCCTAAACTTACTTTTGGTTGTTGTCTTGAGACAGGTTCTCACTATATAGCTCAGACTGACCTTGAACTCATGGTGATCCTTCTGCCTCAGCATCCTTAATGCTAAGATTATAGGTGTGCATGACCGTGCCCAGTTTCTAAACTTGTATTTTACATGCTAGTTTCTCTTCAGATTATATAAATCTTTTGCATTTTTTAAACTGGTATTTTAATACATTCAATGACCCCTTTATTGGCCGTGGGGGATGGCTCAGTGGCTTAAGCACCTGCCTGGCAAGTACAAGGTCCTGAGTTAGATTCCTGGTACCAAAACAAAACAAAAAAGGCTGAGTCCAGTGACCTGCTTATCATAGTGTTTAGTTCATTGTCTTTGGCCTGGCCTCACATGAGGTCTTCCACATGTGATTTTTTTGCTCTGGCTGCTACGTCAGTTCTTCCTACAAAATATGTTGAAGGAAGGCAGGTCCTTAGAAACTCACAGCACGATACTAGGAAAATATTTTTATTTAGTGTCAATAAATTATATAGGCGAGGCCATTTCAATGATAACTATGCCTTTCCCCCAGTCTAGGATAAGGGACTGCCATATGCCCTTCAATAAACATAGAAAAACATGATTATATGCCAGGCTTTTCTGGATCTCCAAGTAGCAGAGAGTATATCATGGGGCTTCTCTGCCTCCATAACCGAACGAGACAGCTCAATCATTTCTCTTTTCTACAGCTACATATATCCTATTGATTCTGTATCCCTATGAACATTCTAATACAATTTTCCTCTTTATACCATTAGAATTTTCCTCTTCACAGCATTTGATGTTTGTGAAGTATTTGGAGGCAATATCTGAAAATATAACTTTGAGTAGTAGTCAGGAAATGTTTATTTTTTTTTAAGCTCTCTCTCTTTTTTTCTTTTTTCTTTTTTGCTGAACCGGGGATTGAACTCAGCTCTTGCACTTGCCAGCGAAGCGCTTATTCCACTGAGGCATCTCCCGGGCCCAGTAAATGTTTATATATATTACATTTATGTATAGTTAATACCCTCTCTATAAGCATCCATATCTATTTATCAAAGCAACTACTCATGAATATTGCTTTATTTCCATTTACTAATTTTTTCATAATCAGAATTTATACTAATTTCAGTAACTTTTATAACTGAATGAGGCCACAATTATGGAGGATTACCTGAAAACTACTTGTAGGCCTGACAGCCAAGGATGTAGAGCCAGGCAATGGTGGAAACTGTCAGGCAGAGACCCAGGTGGGAAAAGGAGGCCAGAGAGGCCCTGGCTCTTACCTTCAGCAGCTTCATTAGCCCCTCCAGCTGGACCATCAGCTCCCGCCTGCTCTCCTGCAGGGCAGACATTCTGTGCTCCAGCTCATCTTTCCTCTGCCTGTCCAAGAGGAAAACTTCATCAGAAATAAAATTTTGGTGTTTTATGCTAGGTGGGTATTGGCAGTTGCTGGTTTCATATTAAAGAAATACTTTAATTCATATGCACTTCTTTTTGCAAAACAATTTGGTTAACTGTCTTTTGCAGTATTTGGCAAATTTTGCAAACTCTATACTGGGTGACAAACATAACCATGGCTATCTTCCCTACACAAACACAAATGCAACTATCTTCCACCAATCATAAAGTTAGTTCATAAATGTATATATCTTCTGTATGATTCAGAAAGTTGTTGAATACCTACAAGTGAATCCTGCCCTTTATGTGCTTTTTGGTAAACCAACATTAATATTTTAAAAACAAACTTTTACTAGTGTATGTTTGCATATATAATGTTTACATTCTGTGTAGGGAGTTGGTACATTCACATAACACCAAATTTTTCATCCATTTTGTCTCTGTTCTCTTCCAAAAGTTAGTCTTAATGTAGAGGAATTTACCAATTACATAGTAAAACATTCTAGAAATTATTTTCTATTCCTAAATTATAAAGAAATTGTTTGCTTGCTT